TATATTTATATATTTAAATATATCCATATATATTTAAAAATGCTTAAAGCACTGGGACATTCCTACTCTGAAGTGGCAGCTCCACGTGTTTTTCTAAAAAGATAAAAAATTTTTTTATTTCAGTTGACATATGTTAGTTTCAGGTGTGCAGTATAGTGTGGTTAGACATATATATACCTTACAAAGTGACCACCCTGATAAGTCCAGTGCCCACCTGGCACCATCCACAGTTATCACAATATTATTCACTATATTCCCTATGCTATACCCCCATGACTATTCTGTAACTGCCCATTGACTTTTTAAAAATATATATTTTTACTTATTTCAAAGAGGAAGGGAGAGAGAGATAGAAACATCCGTGATGAGAGAGAATCATGGATCGGCTGCCTCCTGCACATCCCCTACTGGGGATCAAGCCTACAACCCAGGCATGTGCCCTTAGACTGGAATCGAACCCGGGACCCTTCAGTCCGCAGGCCGATGCTCTATCCATTGAGCCAAACCGGCTAGGGTCCATCTACTTCTTAGACCCTTCACCTCTCTAATTCAGTCCCTCTGGCAACCATCGCCTATTCTCTGTATCTATGAGCCTGTTTCTGTTGTGTTTGTTCATCTGTTTTGTTCTTTAGATTCCACAAAATTAGTGAGATCATATGGTTTTTTTGTCTTTCTCTGTATAACCCGGCGAGTCTACTTCTGGGTATTTATCTGAAGAAATTCCAAAGCGCTCCTTTGAGACGTTACACGCACCCCTATGTTCATTACCGCGACCTTTACAATAGCCAACACGCAGAAACAGCCCAAGTGCCCATCGTTAGACGAGTGGGTAAAAAGCCCGTGGGACACGCACGCCACGGCCTGTGGCTCTCCCAGGAACAAGAAGGGAATGACGCCCGTGGGACAGCATGGCAGGCCCAGAGGGCACTGCGCTGAGTGAAATAAGGCGGCTCCTCTTACCTGTTCTGCTAAACCCGCTCTGACCCGCTCCTGTCCCCCCAGACAGCCGGGTCATCTTCTTCACCGCCTTCAGCTGCCTCGCCATCTTCCTCCTCTTCCCCTCGGTCATCCTCATCTACAGGCGCAGTCAGCCCGGTGAGTGAGTTCGCAGAAACGCCCGTGGAAACCTCTGGGGAAGGGGAGCGAAGAGGGGGAGTCGCTCATCAGATAAATTCCTTCCCCCGTGTGTTTTTTTGCAGGCTCATCCCATGAAGAGTCCGCCAAGAGGTAGGTACTTGGAAGTCTCAGACTCCATCCTTCAGAGACCCCATTGCTCATGCCCAGCCCCACTGCGTTCCCCCCTGGCAACTCCCTCTCTGCGTCTGTGCTCATGACCTTCCTCCTCGCCTCTCCACAACCCTTATCATCCCTCCAAAAATCTCCATATCCCGTATTTTTTTTTATTTACTTGTTTTTTGTTAATCCTCGCCCGAGGATATTTTTCCATTGGTTTTTTTTTAGGGAGCGTGGAAGAGAGAGGGAAAGACAGAGAGAAAACATCGATGTGAGAGAAACACATGGATTGGTTGCCTCCTGCACGAGCCCGATCAGGGCCCCGGCCGGGGAGGAGCCTGCAACCAAGTATGTGCCCTTGACCTGAATCAGACCCAGGACCCTTTGGTCCGCAGGCCGAGGCTCTATCCACTGAGCCACACCGGCTAGGGCCATATCCCATATTTCAATGTGTGTTTCTCTCTCTCTCTCTCTTTCTCTCTCTCAGAACTAGACATTCCTTTTTTCCCGAGCAGGAGGCCTCAGGTAAGTGATAAGAACCCAGGAGAGAGTCGCTGGATAGAAAGATGACAATCAGACTCCTGCCGGCTGAGAACTGAGTCTCTGTGTTTTTTTTCCTCGAGTGCAGATCTGCCCAAGCAGGAAAGGGCATCGCTCTCGCTCTCGGTGAGTTCTCCCCATCGGGTTCCCCAGGTGCTCCCTCAGCCTGTACTCCGGCTACAAGGGTGCCCCAGCTCACACAGTTAGAGGCCAGTGAACACCGTGTTTAAAAACATGTGCTGTTTCCTGGCCGGGTGGCTTCGTTGGTGGGAGTGTCGTCCTGTACATCAAGAGGTTGTAGGTTCGATTCCCGATCAGGGCACATACCTGGGTTGCAGAGTTTTTCTTTCTTTTTTAAGCCCTAATCAGTTTGGCTCAGTGGATAGAGCCTCGGCCTTCAGACTCAAGGGTCCCAGGTTCGATTCCAGTCAAGGGCATGTACCTTGGTTGTGGGCACATCCCCAGTAGGGGGTGTGCAGGAGGCAACTGATTGATGTTTCTGACTCTCTCTATCCCTCTCCCTTCCTCTCTGTAAAAAATCAATAAAATATATTAAATATATATTTTTTCTTTATTTTTATATATGTATATTTTTATTGATTTCAGAGAGGAAGAGAAACATAGAAAGATAGAAACATCAATGATGAGAGAGAATCATTGATTGGCTGCCTCCTGCACACCCCCTACTAGGGATCTAGCCTGCAACCCGGGCATGTGCCCTTGACTGGGAATCAAAGCCGGGACCCTTCAGTCCGCAAGCCAAAGCTCTATCCACTGAGCAACACCATCCAGGGCGGTTTTTCTTTTTTTAATCTTTAGTGATGAAAGTATTACATATATCCCCTTGGGTGGCAGGTTTGATCCACAGTTGGGGCCTATATGGGAAGCAACCAATCCATGTTTTTCTCTCCCACTCTCTCTCTTCCTCCCTCCCTCCCTCCCTCCTTCCCTCCCTCCTTTCCACTCTCTCTAAAAAAATCAATGGAGGAAAAAGAAAGACGAAAGTAAAACGCTGCCTGCTGGGACTCTCTGCCAATACAGAAATGGCCTGGAGCTGCGCTGTCCAGGAACACAGCCTCCACCGCGTGTGGCCTCACACATTTGAAAAACACCTCCTCTGGCATGTTTCCAAATTTAATTTAATTTTAATTCATTTACATTTAAGCAGCCCTACATGGCTCAAGGCTACCATATTGGAAGCTCGCTCTAAATGCCCATGTGGCCCAGCCAGTGTGGCTCCGTGGTTGAGCAATACCCTATGAACCAGGAGGTCACGGTTCAATTCCCCACCAGGGCACATCCCTGGGTTGGGGCTCAATCCCCAATGTGGGGTGTGCAGGAGGCAGCCGATCAGTGATTCTCTCTCATCATCGATGTTTCTGTCTCTCTCTTTTCCTGCATCTCTGAAATCAATAAGAATATATATATAATTTTAAAAAGCAATACATGCCCATGTCTACCCATCTCTTTCCCCCAAAGATTGAAGACCGCCAGGAAGGGACCGGTGCTGATGGAAACAGCAAGACACCGTCCGAGGCAGCGGCAGCCTCTGTCCCGGCCGAGGAGGCCCCGGGACCTGGTGACTGTGCCACGTTGAACGTGTAGGAGGCTGGCCAGAGCCTGGAGAAAGGACTTCTCCCCTGGGGAGGACGGGCTTTGGGTGCAGGTGGCTGAGACGTCTGGACAGAAATCCACACCACTCTGTCCTCGGAACATAATCCGTACTAATAAAATTAAGTTTTTGGTGTGTGTTTTTTTCAAATATGCTTCTATTTATTTTATTTTATTATTTTTTAATCCTCACCCGAAGATATTTTTCCATTGATTTTCAGGGAGAGTGGAAGAGAGGGGGGAAAGACAGAGAGAAACATAGATGTGAGAAAAACACATGAATTGGTTGCCTCCTGCAGGGGCCCTGGCCGGGGAGGAGCCTGCAACTGAGGTACATGCCCTTGACCCGAATCGAACCCTGGACCCTTCTCTGAGCTTTCTGATGCACCAACTCCCCTGCCCAGCACCTCCACCCTCCCAGAACTTTCTCCATGAACAGCCAGAGGATGTCACCCACGGTCAGAGCCCAGTGTAGTTCTGCTTTGTGTGTCACCCTCTTCAGAAAACAGTCCAAAGTTTGTTAATTTTATTGTTTAAAGTATTACAAATAGTAGTACATATTGGGCTATTGATTTGAGAGAGAGAGGAAGGGAGAGGAATGGAAAAGGAGAGAAACATCGATGAGAGAGAAACATCCATTGGCTGCCTTTGCAGGCCCCCTACTGGGGATCCAGCCCACAACCAGGCCATGAGCCCGGAACAGAACCTGTGACCTCACCGGCCAGGCAAAATATAAGTTTTTTTCTTATTGTTGCCACTCCTCCCAGAAGTTACCAGCCCTGGCCGGGTGTCTCAGTTCGTTGGGGCATCTTCCCGTACACCAGTCCTCCCATACACCAGTCCTCCCATACACCAATCCTCCTGTACACCAAAAGGCTGCAGGTTCATCTCCAATCAGAGTACATGCAGGAGGCAACCGATTGATATTTCTCTCTTACTTCAATGTTTCTCTCTATCTACCTACTTATCTCTCCCTT